ACTTGAAGAGGTAGAAGTGGGAGGCAACTTCGTGAGAGCCTGTCTCTAAATAAATAAATTTAAAAGTTCTGGGGGTGTAGCTCAGTGTGGTGGCCCTCGGTTAAATTCCCTCCCACCACCACCAAGGGGATATATATGTGTCACAACAGGCATAGCACCTGCGCTGAGTGAAAGCTCAAAAGCTGGAGTCCAGTTTAGTCAGGCATATCTCAAAGATACTGCAGGTTTCCTTCCAACATCACAATAAAGCAAGTCACACAAGGTACCAATGTGTATAAAATTTGCTTACACTGTACTGTAACCTATTCAGTGTAGAGTAAAATTATCTCAAAAAATATATAGACCTTAATTTTAAAAATATTTTTGTGCAGCCACACATACGGGTGCATGCCTGTAATTCCAGTATTCTAGAAGGCTGAGGCAGGAGGATTGCAGCTCCAGCAACCTTAGCGAAACCCTGCCTCAAAATGTAAACAGGGAGTGGGTGAAGGGAATAGAGCTTAGTGTGAAAGTCCTGGATTCCATCCCTAGTACCTCAAAAAATATATGTTTTAGTGCTAAAAAATGTTAATGATCTTCTAAACCTTCAGAAAATCATAATCTTTTCTCCTGTAGGGTCTTGTTTCCAGGTTGACGGCTGCTGGCTGACAAGGGCTGGGGCTGACCTCGGCAATTTCTTAAAACCAATGAGGTGACGTTGGCAGTGCTGCCGGCCTTGGTCTTAGTTTCTCTCCCTGAGACGCAGCAGCCAACACTGCAGTTTAAGGCGGGTTGACTTGGGCTCGGTCCATAGTCACCTGGCGCCAGGGCAGGGGACAGCAGGGGAAGGGGAGATGACCTTTGGGGTCAGCACACAGTGACCCCGGCCCCCAGACCGCCCCGTCCCAGCAGCGAGTCAGCGAGATGCCTGCCCCACGAGACGCAGCTGCGCGTGCGCTCAGCCGGCAGCAGGTGGGCAGAGCGCCGGGTCGCCCGCTCCTCAGCTCTGCGGTTCCCACCCCAGCCGCGGTCCCTTCTTCCCCTGAAGTCGTGGCATCCCCGCGGTTGGAATCTCCTTCCAATCTCCTCTTTGTGCTGGTATTGTGCACCCTTTCACCAGCCACGCATGCTCCCCCATGAAATCTAGAATGGTGGAATTTTTTCTGGAAGGTTTTCAATTTACTTTGTCTAGATCCGTCAGAGGGATCATCTGCGGCAGCCATAGCTTTATAAAGTGTGTGTGTGTGTGTGTGTGTGTGCGCGCGTGTGTGTGTGCACGCGCGCGCGCTCTCGTGCTGAGGATTGAGCCCAGGGCTTTCACACTGAGCTCCATTCCCAGCCCTTGCCATTTTGTATTTTGTGACAGGGTCTAAGTTGCTAAATTCCTCAGGCTGGGCTCGAACTTGCAACCTTCCTGTCTTAGCCTCCCAGACTGCTGGGATTACAGGCCCCTGCCAAAATGTATTTCTCAATAAGTCTTTAAAGTTGAAATCACTCCCTGATCCACGGTAAATACAGGATTCTCTTCATGCCTGTTATCAGAGCTTCCGGGTCAGCTGCACTGTCAGCGAGCAGTCATGTTTTCAAGGGACCCTCTCCTTCCTGAGCAGCAGCCTTCAGGGGTGGGTTCGGAGCGATCGGGGCCATGCTGTAAGCAGGCACACCATGCTACGACTTGAGATCCCATGTACAGCATGCAAGCAGTGTGTTCAGTGTAATTCTTAAGGGCCTGGGGTCTTCAGAGCAGCCAATGAGCATTAGCTTGAACTTAAGGTCACCAGCTGCGCTCACCCCTAATGAGAGACCAGCCAGGCACTGACTTCTCCTCTCCAGCTATGAGCATTTAACGCAGCATCTCCTTCCAGCAGAATCTCATAGCCACCTTCCTCCATGATGTTAGCTCCATACTCTGGACAGCTTGCTGTATCTTCTGCATCAGCACTTACTTTACGTTGAAGTTCTGTGCTGTAGAGACAGCTGCTTCCCTTAAACCTCATGTACCACCCTCTGCTAGTTTCAGGCTTTTCTTCTGCAGCTTCCTCATCCTGTTCTACCTTTCTAGATTTGAAAGCAGTAGAGCCTTGCTTGTAGGCTTTGACTTATGGAAATATTGCGGCACAAAAATTTTCAATGTCTGCCAGGCATGGTGGTGCTCGTCTGTGATCCCAGCACTCAGGAGGCTGAGGCAGGAGGACTGCCACAAGTTCAAGGCCAACCTGGACTGCAAAGAAAAACTTTTAATGTTTTATTTTGTTTTGTTTTGTCTGAGACAGGGCCTTGGTTCAGGCTGGCCTTGAGTTCACTATGGAGCCAGAGCTGGCCTTGAACTAGCAGTGAGGATCACAGTATTTCTCTCTCTCCATCCCCACAGAAGGCACGTTAGCCTTCCCACCAGCCACCCAAACCCACTGAAAAAGAAGCATCACCAAGCGCCACAGTAGGTATGGCAAGGAAAAAGCTTGGAATAGTGCGAGAATTACCAAAATATGACTCAGAGACTGAAGTGAGCAAATGCTGCTAGGAAACTTTCGATCTGTGGAATCCACAGTAGCTGCCAAGCACAGTAAAGCGGGGCAAGCCTGCCGGAGGCAAAGGGAAAACAAGCCCCTGAAGAGTCGCACACTTGAGAAGAAACGTGGCGTGAGGAAATCCAGACAGATTTAGTCTGCACCCAACCCAGAGTTGAAGACAGGTCTGCCGTCCACTAAGTAGACCCTGAGGCTGCTGGTTCCATGTACTCTGATTTTCAGAAAACCTTGCTATGTAGCCCAGGCTGGCCTCAAACTCACAGTGATCCTCCCGCCTCAGCCTCCAAGTGCTGGGATTACAGATGTGTGCCACGGTACCTGGCCAGAGTGCCTGTGAGGACCAGTGCTAGAACACTTTCAGACGGTGTTGTAGTCAGGGTTTACAAGGGAAGCAGTGTAACGCAGGACACATACTTTATAGGATTATTTTATAGTAATCAAAGAATTAAATGCAAAAGAGTGCAGGAAATCTGCCCACACACTAGAGACCCAAAAAATCCAGCTGAGGGCCTGGATCCCACGGCAATGTCCTGCCTGAGTCCAGTTGGAGGCCCGGAGCCCATGACAATGTCTCATGCAAGCCTCTTTCATGGATCTGTGCTGGGAAGGCCCACAGGTCAGTGGTGGAATCTAGAAAATCTGTGCCAACGGAGTGAAGGATCTGTGCCAGCAGGCTGAGGGGTCTGCCCTGGAACCAGCAAGCAATGCTCAAGATCAGGACCAGAGCTCCCCCAGGAAGAACTGCAGCCATCCTCAGCGACAGTGAGGTCTCGAGCTCCTCTGACGAGGAGAACAGCCGAGTTCATATCAGGAAAGCCACTGTGACAAGCTCCTCCACGAGAAGCAACAGCACCACCTCTTCCTCTCCCGTTCTCCTTTTTATGCTGCTGGCAACAACCCTCAGGCGGGCCTTCCACACCCAGGGCTGATTCAGCTCCGCTGGGTGTTACACCTTGACCACCAGGTGTCAGCCCACCGCAGACAGCATCGTTGCAAGGACTGTCGTGGGCATTCAGAGTTAACACTTACCTTGTCCCAGGGTCCTGATGTGTGAAGGGAGCTTAACCCACTGACCCATCATGAGAGCCCTGTGATTCACTGTCACCACAAACATCACCGCAACTGTGACACTGCAAGGCTAACAGAGCAGGGACATCATTCAGGCAACAATTCAGACTCAAGCCCCAACGGCTGGAGGCTAAAAGCTACAAAGATGAGCTATCTGTCTCATTTTTATATTTATTATATACATTGGTGCTACATAGTGATTGCACTCATCATGGGGACCTGGTTCATGTACATAACGCATCCCAAGTCTCGTCGCTCTTTTTTCCCCCTTTTATTCTTTTTCTTTTCCCTTGCCTTTCCACCTCCCTCGCTTTTTTGCCAACATGAGATTCATTTAAAAATAAATACATAAATGTTTTTGAAAGCATTTCCCTTCTCCCCTGTGTTCTTCATGGGGAGATAATCTTACCCACTATCCCTGACTTTTCTCCAGTCAAAATATTTTTTGTAGCTGGGCGTGATGGTGCACACTTGTAATCGTAGCACTCCAGGAGGCTGAGACAGGAGGCTTGGAAGTTTGAGTCCAACCTGGGCAACTTAGTGACTTATTGAGATTTTGTCTCAAAATAAAAAATAAACAAGCGCCGGGCATGGTGGCACACCCCCGTAACCCCAGCACTCGGGAGGCTGAGGCAAGAGGATCACTGTGGGTTTGAGGCCAGCCTGGCTTACAAAGTGAGTTCAAGGCCAACTTGAACTGCATAGTGAGACCTTGTCTCAAAAAGACAAA